GTGAAGGAGAAGAAGATGAAGAAGAAGAAGAATTAGTGGAACTGTTTTTAAACAACAAACTCTGTCTGCTATCCTTTGTAGATAATCTGCTTAAACATTTACCATGTTTAAAAGTTTTACAATGCTGCTGCACAGTAAACCGCTTTTCTGCTGTTGCACGCCACACAACTTACAATAAAATATCTTGCCATCGGTACTAAACACTTTTTCACCAAACTCCTGTACAAAACTACGCAACTTTGCGTCCTTGAACTACATGTACTCCCTTTAGGCATTGTAAAGTCAAACTGAAGTCTTATAACGCCCTCCACATATATAAATAGAATACTTCTAAGCCCTCCAAGAAAGAATGGGATGTATATACCTTATAGTAAGACGGAGTACAATAGGAGAATACCCGTTACACTTGCCTCCCTCCTGCCTCGACTGGGAAAGGCCGGCTTTCCAGGTCATAAATGCTGCATTTCACAAATTTTCGCCGTTGTAACTGCAAGTACAGTTCAGTCAAAAATATGGTTTTTAATAGGAACTTCATGTACTTGAACTCTATTCCACATGCATTTCACAAATTTTCGCCTTTGTAACTGCAAGTACAGTCCAGTCAAAAATATGGTTTTTAATACGAACTTCATGTACTTGAACTATATTCCACATTGAAGCAACAGTCAAGCCTGAAATTTATTTTGTAATACTAAACATTATGGAGCCGAAATTTTACATTATATCAAAGAATTGTTTCTAAAATGACAAAAATATGACCTTATTTCAAAATTATGCCAAAATATGCTGTAAAACCAATAAAACTCTAAAATATGCATTTATATGCACAATAAAAACGACATAATTTCAATAAGAATGACTGGAAATATGCATAATTACATTTAAAAATAGGAATAAACCCTAGGAAAAAAATATGACATGTCATAGAAATCCGGGCCCTAGAAATGACCCATAGAAGTCCGTGCCACTGCAGTGTAGTGGCCACAGTGGCTTGATGGGCCATCATGTATGACCATGGGAACAAGATGATATGTAAGTGGTGCTGGGCCATGGTGAGCTGACTGAGGACAAAGAAACCTTGTAAGGTCCAGTCTCAGGGAGATCGAAATGTGTTTGTCAATCTTTTCTCCCATGATGTTAAACCTCTTGATTTGTATGCACAGAACTGGAGGTGGTTTCTCCAAAGAAAATTTCTTTATAGCTGAAACTTTCCTGTGACACTGTTCACACCAATAGGCATCATCCCCATCTAGGCATTCTTCGCAGAAGTAGGCTGCCAAAGCACCATCCAATGTGGACGTATGTTGAATATCCAAAATAAAGTCTTGACAGTGCTGAAAAGTTGTGGACACACTACCACACTGTAAACACGTCACTTCTGTTCTGATATAACCTCCAAATATTTGATTCAAAGGCGTAGTTTCCATGCTGTAACTGTCCAACATGGAGTCTTTGTAGCATGTCAGGTAGGATTCTTTCATACTGTGACATGTTGCGCAACCGAGGACCCTACCTCCCCAGCGGCACGTGGCGGTAACGTAGCGCTCGCGTAATAGGGGAGTCATCACCCGCCACTCTCCCCGCGGTGACGTCACGAGCGGAGCCGAAGTGAGCCGAGCGGAGCCAAAGTTAGCCGAGTCCCCGCAACATTGTAGCTATGCAACGCGAGTCAACAGCGGTGACGTCACCAAGGGGTAACAGCGTTGCTAGGCTATACGCCACGTCACAGTAGTGACGTGGCGGGCGACCCTAGCAACAGCGAACGGAATAAAAGCCGGCTGAGCAGCAAGCGAGAGTCAGTGTGCTATTGACGAGTTCTCAGTTCGCAAGTTACGAGCTACAGACGCGTGTGCGAGAATCAGTGATAGCTCGTGATAACCAGCTATATTTGGAGTGTGTAATTCAGGGAGACTTGTATAGCTCCCGCGTTATTAATACGTGAAGACTCTTGAAGATAGTCTTAAGAGATTTTGTTGTAGGGTTTGTAAAGTGTGGAAACCCGTAACATTGTGATAATTAATTGTAGCCGATATTTGTAGATTGTTCAGTAAACCAATTAACTATCTCTACGGCGTATTCAGTAACGAAACACGTTACAATACTTTTCAGAAGGTAACACATGAACTCATGGGCGTCCTCTTGCTGACCAGGTACAAGGTCCTTGCTGATAAACTGCAATCTGCTGTATATGAGGAGCGGTTTTATGATAGTGCCACTTTTCTTCCTTGACGCTTTGAATGTCTTGTTCATTGCACAGATGATGTACACGTCCTTCACTGACCCATTAACAACTGTACAATTGCTGAGATGGCTATTATCACTGCAGAGCCAGTTGACAAAGGCCGGGACATGGAATAAAGCCTGTAATGTTGAATTGAGGTAGCAGGAATTATCAACATTAATCATTCCACCACCTACACAATCGTTCTTTCTCCAACCCAGCTGTATACCATGTGCTGGAAAGAATGTTATCTTTGGTGTTGGCAGCATGGATTCAGGTTCTGGCGCCATTACTACGAATGTTNTTCTCTAAACGGTGATTTATTGGTAACCATAAACAGAGCCAAGGAGAACACAGAAAACACCGATCTCAGCTATTTCCGAGGTAATAGCTACACGGACAACACAAAAAACACCGGTCTCAGTTTTATCGTAGGAACGTTTGTTTGCGAAGTAGCCGTTACTCAGTTCCGATTTTTCCAGGACAGTTCCGAATTTTCACTTGACCCGGATTTTGTTAAAGGTAATTCAGACGCCAATTTTTCCTAGATTCGGCCAAGATGCCACGGTTTATCCCGGTTTAAAGAATTTTTTAACGTCGGGAAGATGGCGAAGTATATATTACCAGTAAATGTAACGCTCCGTATTTGTGTTATAATGCAACTGAATCCAGTGAAAATTTGACTGGACCCTCATGGAAAGCAAGATCTTACTGCTAAAAGTATTAGCAGAACTTAGTGTTGTTAAAGGAACAGTATTCCCCTTGTCATAATGACTTTCAGCTACCTTCATACTACCTTTTTTCATTACATAGCTGTTTCATTTTAAAGCGTTTACCACATTAAATTCTGAATTGATACTTTAACTTCTTTCCCACCTCCCTTTTCCCCTTCTTCCGCATTTCATATTCATAACAAGACCACAGTAAATTATTATGACACATTTTGTGAATGCAATAGTGATCCAACACAATTTACAATTTAGTAACACTAATAGTTTTCTGAAAAGGAATATAGGAAATATAATAAATTTCAGATGAGCAAACCAGGAATGTTAGGAAATCATTAAGAGGAAAATTGTCTTAATTGGGTAACCCAGTAAGTGACATACAAAACAAACTGAACCTTTTCCATTTGAGATTACAAATATGTCACCACTGTTTTTGTATACTCTTCAGTCAGTCTTGCTTTAAGATTTTGGTTCTCATACTGTGAAAAGTGTCCCACAGAATGTCAAAGTTCAAGAGAAAGTGAATAATAGAATGCAACACTTGAGAAATGTAACTGCAATAGAGAAAATCTATTCTTAAAGGGTTTTGAGGTTCTCACTGTAGTGACTGGGTTTAATGCCACAAGTTCATGGATTGTTTTGTCAGACCTACAACCCAGAACCCATACACTCCAATTCCTAAGGGGATTTAGCACATTTATTAGGCCAGCAATCCAGCTGAATTACTGTAACACAAATGTGAATGAACTTTCAAAAAGTCCAAAGAAATATACTCAGTATCCTAATTTGCTAAAATCCTGTTTTGTTGCTGAAAATTACAAACAGTGGTTTCAAAATATTAAGTTTTTTTAACAAAGGAAAACTGCAGTTCTTGACAACATTTCCTGTTTTGAAAAACTTATAAATTAAGTTTTCATTGTCAGTTCTTAGGGTTATAAAATTAAAAGAATTATGAATGTGCCATCTGTGATACTAGGGTACAGCAAGGGGGCTCACCTCCATGAAGACCTGGAGCCTTATGCAGCCCCCCCACCCTTAGGCAGGCAAAATTTAAATGTGTAAATATTATTAATTTTAGGATCATGGTCTTCTTGGATGTGACATCAGATATTTTAATACATACCAAACTACAGTATGTCACACCCCAAAGAACCACGATTATAATGTTCACCATGATGAAAACCTCAAATCTCATTTAATATACTACCAACTTTGTTAACACAGAACCATAATTTATTCATAAAGATCAAATACAAAGACAAAATTAAAAGAAGAATAAAAGTACCATAAGCTGTCCAAAACATTTCACTGACTAAGCTCTTTAAGGTATTACTAATGAAGCTTATTTAAAAATGACATGATTTCAGGGAGTTTGAGAACCACTAACTTAAGCACTTTACTATGAAAATTTAACAGAGGAAAGGGAAGAATACTTCTCCCTTTGCAGATGGCTATAAGCAATGCTTTTATGTCATTTATAAACCAATTCCAAAGCTTGAGAGAGATCAGAATATGAACAGGCAGCTATTGCCAGTTTTGAAATCAGCATGCCCAGTCTTGAGACCTGACATGAAGGTTTTTGGTAACTATTTTGGCTGAAGTCCACTTCATCAGTATATAGATTAGGGATAGAACCAGGCATCTTGTTTCACAAAATTTCCTTGAAAGGAAACCCATCATAAATTTAAAGAATTCACTACGTGGAAAAGTCTAGCAGAAAGTCGTCTTTATCAGAAACTGTCTTTGGTACTGAGAACAGACAGAGAGAACAAAAGTAAAATTACTCTAAATAAATGGGATTTATTTAATATTGAAATAGAAAAAAAAAAGAAGTTGATAAAAACTAGTGGGCTTCAACATTTATTGCTGTCTGTTTATATAATTTGATCCAAACTCTACTTCTGAGAACAGAAAAATCCAAGTCCAAATATCAGCAAAATGAAAAAGTAGAAAAGAAGGGAAACTCAATACGGTACTGCTTAGTAACAGTGTAGCATGGCTTTGTGACTTATGATGTTCTGAAAGTTGGTACAGTACACTCACATGCATTACACTAAAACATGACTTAACTTCTCTCTTCACTGTCAGCTTCAGAATTATCAGCAGTACTAAAAAACCTTACAAAATCTAAACCATGATTTTAACCAAGCATCATTCCAATATAAGAATTATTTCTACTTTATTTCATTTTTAAGTGAAACTGTTACGAAATGTATTTATCGCAGTTTACATATTACCTGACAGATATACATCAAGTAGGTTGAGCACCTGTCATGTCACTTTGAGAGTGAGTCAAATATAAGCTCAACAATTCTTCTCTCCCTCAAAAGCCTAGTTTGGGAAAACAAATCCTGTCATAAATTCATTTCAGTGTATTCAAAAATAAAATACAAAAAGAGAGCCTGGCATGAATATTGAAACCAGATCTGAGACAACAGTGTTTGCCTTATCTCCTACTTAATGATTATTTTGATACAATACTGTTCAATGTCATGACTAACCAGTATGAAGATAAGAATAGTATGGTTTTAGGGTTGTAATGTTGTGTGATTTGGAGACAAGCCAACATTCTGAAGAAGCATATTGCCGCCATCTTATGGGTCAAAGAGTAACTCAAGCAAGAAATCACCTGCCTGACACTTGCCACCTGTTTCTTGTTGGTTTCTTGCTTGGTGTACTCTTTAACCCAGAAGATGGAGGTGATACATCCCTTCAAAATGCTGGTAATTCTCCAAACTACACACCATTACAACCCTATGTACTATATTCTTCACAGTCACTGCTGTGAGCACTTGACATGCAATACGGTAGGAAGATAATTTATAAATTAAATTACACTTCACATTTTTACAATGGCATGGAAACATAAATTACATGCAGTGATTTTCAATGAAATAAAATACAAAGTCCACAAGGAAATTACCAGTTATTAGCTCGATGTCTCATGACGAGGGAATCAAATGATGGAAATTTGGGGTGACAGAATGATAAAACTAGCATGGTTACAGACAGACAATGTTAAAGTACAACATACTATAAAAGTGGGAATATTGGCTATAGAGTGCTGATTTTCAGTATTCAAAGGGGTGACATGACATGAACTTATCAGTACAAATTTCAATACCAACATTATATAAGAATTTGAAAGAAGTACATAAACCAAAGTTACCAGTATGCCATTTACAATTGTGGGCATTTAAAACCAATATAAATGTGCTAGAGTGTTAATCATCTACCAAATATTTCATTCATTCATTCATTCATTCATTCATTCATTCATCAGTAATCTGTCAGACGACAGGTCCACAGTCTCTTCCAAAACAGTTCCTCCACTTAATGCGATCTATCGATGAAAAGTGATAATGTGGTGGTTTTTCCATTTGCTTTCCACATCGCAGTACAACAGCCGTTCAAACCACTCTGGTCACGCCTGTTGCTATACGAACTTGAACCATCTCGAGCATCATTTGCTCTGTGCTTCAAGTCGCTGCTGATGACGCTGCTTCCGGCATCAGTTTTTGGTTTTTGGTGTCTCTCTTCGTCTGATGCCTACCCTTTGACCTGTCCAGCAAGGGAGGCCCTGCCAGTAGCTACGCTACCGCTGGTATAGCTCTCAGGGTCCTTGGCATACTCAAACTCCCTCACCACGATAAGGTGGATACATTATATGATTATACGAGTATGATTTTAAACTGCTATCCCCAGTCTGAGTCGCAATGACTGACAGCAATAATTCCATACAAGGTAATTAAATTTAAACCCAAACTGTAAATATTTAAAACTAAAATAAGGTGCACTAACGGGTTATTATTATCCACGGCAGCCGAGCGGTCTAAGGCATGCACTGTCTTCCCTCGCTCGGAAGCCGGGATCGTGGGTTCGAATCCCACTCAGGGCATGGATGTTTGTGTGCGTTTTTCTGTGTTTGTCTACAGGTAGAGGCCTTGCGACGAGCTGATCACTCGCCCAAGGAGTCCTACCGTACGTGTAAGATCTAGTAAACCGAAGTGAAACGGAGAGTTTCATGGAGGTAGGCCTAGGCCCAAATTGGGGCTGTAGCGCCACAGGAAAAAAAATAATTGGATGTTATATACTACTGTATATAACGTCCTAAGTGTTATAGCCATGATGTGAATCCAATGTAAGAATTATGAGTGAGAAGCTGTATGAGTAGTTCAGCACAAACAGCCAATGACTCTATGACTTAGAACGTGATAATCTAAATTTTCATGAAATTGTTCAGTTTGTTTTCTATGTTACCTCTGACGCTTCTTTTGCTAGGAAAATGAACATATCAGAATACGCTCCTCAGAAATCCACTGTCCACTAGATACAGCACATAATCTAAATAATTATTAAAATGTACAAAAAGATACCATACCCATATCAAGCACAATATTTAAAGCTTAAAGGTACATAATTATAAGGCCAGGAATGAAACATCAAGCATCCCTAGTAGTACAGGGACCAGATGCAAATAGTTAAAACTATTACTGAAAGTAACTGTCAAGGGAGCAAAATAGTGTAAAGAGTTCAGAACAAACACACTATCAACAATCCCA